CACTGACCCAACGCAAATCCTTGTCTCGAACGTCGGCTCCACGACCCCCACGTCTGGAGCCACAATGGGCATGCGCATCGTGTCCGACTCGGTGTATCAAGCCCACAAGCCGAATCGGAATGGACCCAATGCGAAGGGTTTCTTCGTCCTCAACATTCGCGGCGAGGTGGACACCATCCTCAACTTCACATTCGTCGACGACAACTCGCAGGACCCGGTGACGGTGCCGAATTTTGTGATCTCCATCTACGACTTTGACAGGGGCTGCAGCGGCCAGTCGGCTGGCTTGCGTAACAAAACGTGCGATGGCGGCAGCTTTGATCTCGGCGAGGTTGTGATGGCCAAGAGCTCGACCGCAGACCCCGCGCAAGGCTTTGACGCGTACATCACGTCCGGCGGCACGTCAGAGGTTGAGATTGGCGCCGTCACTGGCGGCTGGACGAGCTTCAGCGCCACACTTGCGGGAAGCGGAGCTGACAACCCTGGTACCGTTCAAGGCCTGACTGAGGACCAGCTGAACAAGGCTGTGAGCCTCTACTACAGCAACACATCGAGCTTTCAGCTTAGAGTCCGCCTGTTCCCTCCCCCCGCCTTCAATGCAACCTTAACCGACACCGGGAGGAACATCTTGCTGTCGGGCGTGGTGTTGGACTTTCCGGGTTGTCCGCCACCTATACCGCCGTCCGCCTCGCCCTCGCCGCCGCCTCCCTCCGCCTCACCATCGCCGCCGCCTCCGTCCGCCTCACCGTCGCCGCCGCCTCCGTCCGCCTCGCCGTCGCCACCGCCTCCCTCCGCCTCGCCCTCGCCGCCGGCTCCCTCCGCCTCACCATCTCCGCCGCCGCCCTCAGCATCGCCGTCGCCCCCGCCGCCCCCAGCATCGCCGTCACCCCCGCCGGCATCCGTGTCGCCGTCGCCGCCGCCTCCCTCGGCATCGCCCTCGCCCCCGCCGCCGTCCGCCTCACCATCGCCACCGCCTCCGTCCGCCTCGCCCACGCCGCCGCCTCCTCCCGCCTCGCCGTCGCCGCCGCCTCCGTCCGCGTCGCCCTCGCCGCCGCCTCCCTCCGCCTCTCCCTCCCCGCCACCTCCTTCCGCGTCGCCGTCGCCACCGCCTCCCTCCGCCTCTCCCTCCCCGCCGCCGTCCGCCTCGCCGTCGCCGCCGCCGCCTCTGCCGCCGCCTCCCTCCGCCCTGCCTGCGCCGCCGCCGTCCGCCTCGCCCTCTCCGCCGCCGCCGTCCGCCTCGCCGTCGCCGCCGCCGCCTGACGTGCAGCTGCTCGACCTCCGCGCCGCCACCACTTACCAGGACTCGAGCTTGTTCGACAAGCAGGCGCCCGTGAGCGACCTGTCATACGCCGACAGCACGACGGGACGGCCGTGGGCCGAGTGCGGCCAATACACAAGCCAGTGGTGGGGCGTCGACCTCGGGAGCGAGGTGTATGTGCGCTACGTGCGGCTGCAGAACCGCAACGACTGCTGCGCGGAGCGTCTGACCGGCATTGACATCTATCTCGGCTCGACGGCAGAGACGTACACGGGCAACGCGCTGGTGAAGTCGGACGTGAGCGTGTTGTCGAACGTGATGTTGGAGGTGGAGATCAACGCGTTGGGGCGCTACATCTACCTCAACTAAAGGTCTGCGACGGGGCTGACGGTGTGCAAGTTCTACGTTTACGGATACGTGTGAATGGGGACCG